CTTGCAAGTTTTTAAACGAAACATACTTTTTACCTCTACATGAGTTATTCTAATCATCATAACTGAATGCTGCCTTTTTTTCTCGTAAATCTGATAACCTTTTTCAATAGCTTTTTTCAATTCAGTCCAGGTTTCCTCACAATATTTTTTTTTTATTTCCTTGTTCATTGTGACAGTGAGAACGCTGGAGAATACTCTCTTTGGAAGATTTTATATCTTACAATGTTGACTTTTCTATGTTGATCTCAGCCATTAGTTACATTGAATTTTACTAGCGTCTAGGCTATTTAAAATTTCCACTTTTTGCGATAACTCCAAAGTTGTTCTTTTCCTTTTATTCCCATCATCTTTTGCACAAAAAAAACAAGATATTAGGGTGAAATGAGCATGCGAGAATTATCCAAAGTAAAGATCTTGAAAAACAATTTTCAAATCGGTTATATATGACCGAAATAGTTCAAATATATACATCAAAATCACGTCGGGATATGTGGGATTTCGGATATGAGTGATTGTACTGTAGTTTTATTTGCAGATATTCATTACGTATTTTTATAACAGTGTAAAATCAGTATAAAAATCTATAGTTCAGTCTAATATTGAATGAATGAATAAGCTATTCCTTAAATTATATACAATGTTCTCAGTAATTTACTCCTAGAATCTATTAACAATCTCTGCCATATGAAAAAAAATTATTTCCATTTTCACATTTATGGAAAATTGTTAAGCAGAGAAAAAAATAAATAAAACTCTGTATTTGCTTTTCGAATGAAAAACGTTCCGAATACCGACAAGAGAGGTTTTTAACTAATAACATGTATTTTGACCTCATGTTTCCCCTTTCAAAACAATCTGTATGTGAAGTAATATTTGGTAAATGGCAGTCGCGGAAAGGTCTGTCAGAAAACAGTTTATTTTTCACTCTTTGCTTAAAATAGTGTATTGTGTACTGAGAAGAAGCAAGATTAATAATTGGTAGTGTTATTTAGTAACATTTGCGTTATGTTCTAAGAATTCGGTTTTCATAGGAAAAAAAAATGAAAAAAAAATTTTGCGCATTCGAGTAACATGAAATGAGTTTCGATGTGTATATATGTTGGCAGATGGTAAGTTGTTTACTTATGTCCACCAATTGATGCGCCGATAAACAATGTCATACCGTATGGAAACACCGAAATAAATTTCAAAGATAAAATATTATTTATTTTTAAATCAATTCCAATCATATTTATTTTCCTTGATATTACCGATTGATAAATTTGTACGTATGTCTAAATAGAATATACATCACTCACCATTTGGAATAATATTTTGATGAACTTATTTTTTATGCTACCTACAGTTTCCAAATGTATTTATTGTTTGAAGGTCTCATGGCTCTTCCCTGTTTCTTCCTCCTTATCTTCTTTCCATAGGAACAAACCATTTCGACAGAATAACTTGATTGGATGTTAAAGTCTCGCGTGATGTACGACAAAACACGAGGAGAATCTTTTTACGTTGGTAACTGTTATAGGAAAAATATTTTTACGATAAAGAAAATGAAGGTAAAAATTAAAATTAAATAAGAAGTAATAAAATAATTCCACTTAACATTTTTTTTTTAAATACATCAAAATTGAAGTAATTAAAGTAAGAAAACTATTTTCAGAAAATTATTTTTCATTGTAATATGCTAACACTCAAGGGTATTAATAAGTTATAAATTGTTTAAATAATGGCTAACGCTGGAAAATTTATGAGAAATGTAAAAAAATAATTTACTTATATGCTGTATATTTTTATAACTTCAATTATTAATTTAATGGATATTCGTATTAGAAGTAGACTTGGTTTTATTTTAAACAGTGTGTATTTCGTCTGTCGTCCTGCTCGCTTTAGAAATTTTAATGAAGACAATGATTTTCAGCAGAGATCTCACAAGCGTTCCCCTTTTGTAAGATAAATCACATTTTGAACCAGCGTGTTTTACCGCTCGTCTATCGAGGGCGTCTCAATACAGCAATGCACTATTTTCCCTTTTAAGGAAAGTTCTCTTCTCCGTTCCGATATTTTTCACGAAAACTCCATATCTGCTCAGTCTCCTATCCTAAATAGAAACAAAACAGTTTCTAAATAATTAATGTTCTTGTTTTTTGTTTTAATCCGTCATTTTTATTACTTGAAATGTTATTTTTTTTGTGTGTATTCATATCGGAATCAGACGTCCCTTTTAAAACTATGTGCATTACGCCACACATTCGATATATCTTATGTTTGATAAATCAAAATATGTTCTCCGGTAAAGATCGAACATGCGTTCACCTTTGAAGAAAACACGATGAAATTCTGTACTAATAGTTTCTTATCTCGCATTTTTCACTTCCGGAAAACTCTTCCAGCTTCTCGCTACCCAGTCAACTTTAATTTTCAAATATTTAAATTCAATATCAGTCGTCAATTCTTGTTCTTTCATTAGTTTCTCTCATTAATACACTCAGTAAGTCCTTGTGTCTTAGTGGCTTTATCGCCTTGCCTGTGGTGAAATGATTAAATAAATTTAATGTAAAGTATCTGTAATGTCTTCACCTAACATTCGTAATTTGTTCTATGTATCTTCTGGGTGGAAATGATTTTTTTCATGATAAAACTGCTATTAAATTAACGCTGATAATCTCGCTTTCACGAAATATTTGTGAATAATACATCCTGTGTCTTTCAGATTGCAATATTCTTATTTATTTAAGTTACATTTTTGCTGTGTTGAAGTAGGTAATTGAATCCGAAAATGAAGTCAGATTTCTGCTGAAATTCAGTGGACGCCATATTTCAAAGCGTGTTAAATCTGGTGTAAAATAAATGTTTTATGACGTTATGTGATGAAGTCTTTTGTAATATAGAAAACCGTTTTTGTACTACTAAAATTAACTTTTGTAGATGTATATAGCATGAAAGCAATTGTCATTCTCATGTAATTGAATTAGACTTAGCTCTATATGGGGGCTAGTATTTCATTTTTATTTTATTTTTGCAAATTGTTTGATGTTAATACTAATAGGCAGCTTCACAAGCGTTTTCCTACGCTACCGTCATTTCTATGTAAAATATTTCGACGAGAAAAATTTAGTTTCGCCATCTTTATCCCCTCCGTATGCCATTGCTAAGAAAAAGTTTAATTGGGATATTTTTTTTGTTTTTTTTTTGCAAAAGGCGCTGCTTTGTGAAACAACCTCCCGAGTGGATTTTTTCCCTATCACTACTAATTTCACGCCTGTGGTCAGAAGTTATTTTTCTCATGTAATCAACAATTCTTATCTACACCACATGCGATCATAAACAATTTCATTCAGTGAACCTCAATATTGCAGTTCCTTCTCATCCAACCACACATTCCGTCCTGGTTATGACGATTAACTACATCCGGCAGCAAGGCCTCTGATCAGGAGTCTTTGAGGAGCGGGGAACAACCTCTTAATTGCGGATGTTCCCAGCTCCACCCTGACTCGGGGTGGCAGCATCTGTGAGGGTCCCAGGTAAATGGTTAACCCCAAAATTGGTGTCAAAACACTACGAAAGTGTAAAAGTCAGTTTCTATACAAGCAATACGTTTTTGTAAAAAAACAATTACTAGCAATAAACTTTTGCAGAAAAACTTATTACCAGCAATACATACATTTTTTGAAAAATAATATTACTGACAATACATTTTTTGGAAAAAATATTACTAGCAATACTTATTTAGAAAAAAATATTGCTAGCAATACATTTTTTGAAAAAAATGATACCAGCAATGCATTTTAGAAAAAAATATTAGCAAAAATACATGTTTGAAAAAAAGAAAAAAACATTATCAGCAATATAAATCTTGTCGGCATTAGATACGCCACTTAGTTTGATATGCCGTAAAACAAACCAAACAAAACCAACCACGTATTATCTGTGTGTATTTGTCATTTCACTCTAGCAAGCCATAAAAACGTTTCAGAATTTGCTAATAAAAATATTTAAATATGGATTTAAGAATTTATAACTATTACTTCGAAGAAAAGCCAGAAATATGTACCCAAGATTTTGTTTATCCCTGATGCAAAATGCCATGATCTAGTTGTAATTTCAGTTAAGTCTATTAAGATACTACCCGCTAAAATATCGATGAGTATTCACGCACAGTTCTGATCAAAATGATAATGGTAATATCAATTATTTCTTTATAAAACATTCATTTACTGCACAGCCAGTGCAGCCGTCGGTTGAAATTTTTAAAATAGTTCACTTAAAACAGAATGTCAGGAAAATAGCTTTTTCATTTCCAATATATAGCATCGCTGTTTCCACTATTGTTTCGTTCCTTTAAAATAGTATGGGACGCCTATATCTTTATATCCTTATTTTATCTTCTAGTTCCACTTGCTATCCATTTTACTTGTTACTGCTGCTGAATGTCCTGATATAATGTTTGTTACTTGGTACAGTTTTTTTTTGTTCTTGTGTCACACCATCAGACGAGGTTTTATTAAAAGTGGTATTGGCTATGACCTAGAGTCTTGATTCAACTTCAAAAGACACGATAAAGAAAGAAGAAGAAAAAAGTTTTTAAAAAAAATATTTCGGATTTTGCCAATCCTGCTTGTTAAAATGAATACAAAGAATAATAATTCGAGATAGTCATTTCATAGCAATCTTACGAAATAAAAAATGTCATCAGAGATCTGCATAAGATTTGGAACTTTGGAAAAATACTTAATTGCAATTGTCGTGTATTATTAGACAAAATAGTCAGAAAGGGAATCAAGCAGTGTTTTAGTACAGTTGTGTGTTGTCATTATTATAATCGCTAAGACTAGACATTTGCATTGGTTTGTCATACATTAATCGACAAAGACCCCCTCGGAATTCAAAACACAAGGAAGAATTGTCAACTGCACACTCATGTTACCAAGATCTCGACATCAAATCTTGGTTTGGCTTTCATTTCTTTCTTTATTTTTTAAAATTTTTATTTTTGTGTCTTTTAATAAATGTTCTTCCTTTCTTTTCCGTTTTATTTGCTTGCGTCTCGTTTCTGTTCTCGTCTTTTCTCTATTAATCTCGGCTTTCATTCCTCCTCGCGTACTCGTTTCTGCAATTATCTTTCTCATTTCTATTCCATGTTACCTTCTTTTGTTTCGATTTGCTGATTATGCATCTGCCTGTCTTCTCTCATTTGTTTCATCTCTCCCATTCTCTTCTTTTTCCGCTCTCTCTTCTCAGCTTTTTCTCCATTCGATCACTTGTCGAAATACGATCAGTTTTCTCCCCAATAGTCACACATATATTCCTCCACATTCTTCTCTTTTACTTTTATGTATTTAGTCTCACTCTTGTATAATTTGGATCACCTCTTTCTTTTTCTTTTTTATTACATAGATTTATTTCCTTTTATCATTCATATCTTTTTTTCCTTTCAATTTTCACACCATTATTTCTTCTTTTTCTCTTCCTCTATTATTCTTATCTTTCCTCTCTATTTCTATTTATTTTCTCTTTCTCTTTTCTACGCTTTTTGTGTTTATTTTTTTACATTATTTTGTCTTTCTTCTCTCTCCTTTTATTTTGTCTTTCTTCTCTCTCCTTTTATTGTCTTTCTTCTCTCTCCTTTTATTTTGTCTTTCTTCTCTCTCCTTTTATTTTGTCTTTCTTCTCTCTCCTTTTATTTTGTCTTTCTTCTCTCTCCTTTTATTTTGTCTTTCTTCTCTCTCTTCTTCTTTCTTCTTCCATATTCCTCTTTTCTATTTCCTTTTTTCATTTTCTCTTTTTTTATTTCCGTGTTTATTTTTTTAGTTTATTTTCTCTTCTTCAATCCTGTTTCTTCTCTCTTTCTTTACTTTTCTCTAACTTTTTCTCTTTTCCGCTTTTCTTTTTTTTTTCTTTTTTCATTTCCCCTCTTTCTTCCTTTCCCTCTTTCATCTACTCATTCTACTTTTCTCTTTTTCTCTTTCTTTTTCCTTCTCTTACCCCACTGTCATATGCCATTTTTCAAAATCATATCCCTCTCTCAACGCGTTTTCTCTTTTTCATCCTCGTCTCTTTCTTTTATAGCTCAGTATCCCAAATCTCGGTGCCGCCTGGAACTGAAGCGGCGCCGAGCAAATATTAATCATGGAGGACTACTGGGTTTCCTGGCAACAACGTGGCCGCAAGGCAATATACCCATGTGGATACGAACGAGATTACATCGGTCATCCATATGACAGACACTTAGACCGTCCACCAACCTCGTCCTGTCCACTCAATGAGGTCCGTGCAAACGAACCAGCTTTTTGCTTTTTCCCATCCCTTACTGCCATTGGACTGACCGGCCTGCTGGCCAGCTGATAATAATTCCGCTCAATTTGTCTGTAGGAAATAGGAAGTAGTTTGCTGTACAGCCGTCTCCGTTCATTTAGTTATAATGCTGACAGCTATTAGCAACAAAAATATATATTGATATTTTGACTAGGAATAATACATTTGGCCCGAGACAGTATTTCCTAGCTGCAAATAAAGATATGCAATTTTTATGCCGTATTGCTGAGGGACTAATTTCAATGATGTTTCCTTATATAAAGAAACTCTGAACAACATTGATGTTTCGGTAATCAGTACGACTTGGCTTTATTGGTCCTTACTAGATATACTGCAAAACTCATATTTCTATCTATATTTCTGAGATGAGTTATTATGTACATTATTTACATTATTCGGACTATTGTCCTCATCTTTGTCGCCATATTTATCACAACGTTTCGGCCGTTGTACGCTCCGGCCTTCTTCAGGTGGTTGGGATTTTGAACTGAATCCTTTATTTCGCTCACTGGGGTAGACTGTTCTAGTTCCACGTGCCATGTTTGATGGATGTCAGTTATAAGTTATCTCCTGCTTATTTTCCTCTGAAAGTTCTCCACTGCCTTAACCGTGTATTGAACTCACACTCTTTGCGTCCAGTCACTAGATCTAACCAACGCCTTTATCCACTGTGTCCTGCCAGATTGATATTGCCTTGTGATTTCTTAATCATAAATTTATTCTTAATATAATTAGTTTAAGTGCTGTGCCAAACTTTTAATCATTTTTTTTTACAATCATGGGAATATATTAGTTCTGGTGCCTATTCGAAATTGTTTGAAGAGGAAATTACTTTTATCAATGAAACACGTGTTTGTTGGGAAGGGCTCTCTGTTTATGAGAAATCTATCTCTTGAAAGAGACAGAAAGTTTGGTTTGGTTTGTCTTACAGCTTATCAACCTCAGTGGGTCATTTAATGCCGACGACATTTTGTTTCCCTGGTAATATTTTTGTTTTGTCAAAAATCTATTTCTGTTAATATTTTTTTTCCTCAAAAATGTACAGCTGGTAATATTATTTTTTTCAAAAACGTAGAGCCGGTAATATTATTTTTTCAAAAACGTATAGCTGGTAATATTATGTTTTTTTTAAAAAAAAAAAAAACGTATAGTTGGTAATATTATTTTTTTCTTCAAAAACGTATAGCTGGTAATATTATTTTGTTTTTCAAAAACGTATAGCTGGTAATATTATTATTTTTTTTCAAAAACATATAGCTGGTAATATTACTTTTTTTTCAAAAACGTATAGCTGGTAATATTTTTTTCAAAAACGTATAACTGGTAATTTTTTTTTTTTTTTAAAGCGTATGGCTGGTAATTTTTTTTTTTTTTTTTTTCAAAAAACGAACAACTGGCAACAATATTTTTCATAAACGTATTATCAGAGGCCTTGTTGTTGGACGTAGTTTATCGTCATACCCAGGTTATTAAAAATAAATGTGTAAACAGAAATTGAATATTTATCATATTATTGACTCTTTTAGATTTATCTTCGATGGCAATCATAGCGAGCATCAAAGTGTAGATTAAACTTCTGTCACTGTTCCTGATTCCTCTTTTGCTCTCAGTAATGTAAACGGAATATATGTTATAAAATGCCTACTAGTATATGTGTTATATTTGTAGTTATCTCAGTAAGTCTGTATCCAATGATAAAAAAATTCACAAATATTTATTTTTCAGCGTAATCACGCACCTAATCAATACATTTAAAACACAGTCCTCTTAATTGCTTCTAATTGAATTAATCTCCAAATATTATATGCAATGTGTATTAGGAATCTTATATAATAATGCTCTATTTTAAATACTTTTAAGAGGTTTTCAATATTTTGTCTATAACATTAAATTATACGGTCATGCTTTATTAATTTCTGGTTATTATTATTTTTTATTATATATTTACAATTTTTTTATCGGTTGTCGCATATCCAGATGATATCTGTCTGAATTTCTGGCATGAGCGTTTAACATAATTTACGCTATTTACTTGCCGTCCTGGTTAAGTTGATAAATTGCAGCCAACAGCAAGTCCTCTGATAAGGAGGTTTTGAGAAATATAGAACCACCTCTTAATTGCTGTCGTTCCCAGGTCAACCCTGACCCGGGGTGGTAGCAATTATTAGGGCCCTAGTTATGGGTAAATTGTTAATCCCCCAACTGGTGTCAAACACTGTGAAAGAGTAAAAATAGGTTTTAATAATAACAAAATATTTTTGTAAAAATTATTACTAGCAAAATATGTCTGGAAATATATTAGCAGCAATACATTTTTGAAAAAATTATTACCTGCAATAAAAATCTTGTTGGCATTAAATAATCTATTGATGTTGATATGCCTTAAAACAAAAAAAAACAAACTATTTGCATGCAGATTATTGTATTATCACAACGCTGTTGCTCCCACCTGTGGTTTTCAGATGCTTCTTAATTCGGGTGACTTTCAGGGAATTTCGAAGTGAATCCTTTATTGAATCTGATTGGTTGATTTGGTCTCATTCCACTGATCATGACTATTTCGGTAATATTCAGTTAATATGTTAGAGGATCTTCAAAATTCAAGTTTTAGAGTAATTTCAACAGTGTTTTAGGAAGACTGCATCTCAAATTTAAACATGTGAATCGTGTTATTGACGTCCCGTATGGAAAGGTTTTGTACCAAGAATGACATCACCAGATGACGAACACATGGTAAAATATCTCATGCAGATTTTAAATAATTTTACATTTTTTCGTGACCTATAGTCATTGCTGAAATATCGTTTACCATTCTTATAAATCTCATGTGAAGGAATGGTCAATACATGTTATACCAAACTTATATCTAGAGAATTTGGTGGTTTTTCTATTGGTATCTTTTAAATCTATGTTGTAAATTTGCGCAACATTTCCGGTTTGGGTGACGTGAGAGTTCACTGACTTTACCTCTTGTTAATCAGCGTTTTTTCTTCCTATTATTTATTATTCTTTTAAAAACCAAAAAAGAGGTTGTTCCTTTTTCCAGGAACTAGATGGACTGCAAAATGCTAAAACTCGATCCAAATAATCTAAATTGTTAACTCTGATGTCTTGCATGAAAATAGAATAAGAATATTTATCTGCCTTTATGCTTACACCAACATTATATTCGATGGAAGCTTTAATTTTACTCCCTACAATAAAACCATCAAAACATTACTCCATCTCCAGCTATTATATTACACGTTTCTCTTTGTTATTTTAAAAAATTTTCAGTTTGACTTCCTTCGTGTTTTCAGACATCATTCTTAATATATTAATATATTTTAATAGATTCATACCTGGAAAAATCATTCTTACCAGCAAAAATATTTAATGCAATAGTCACTCGCCACAAAAATAAAGATACTATTCTTACTTGTCTATATTTCTGAGATGTATTATGTGCATTATTTACATTATTCGGACTATTGTCCTCATCTTTATCGCCATATTTATTACAACGTTTCGGCCGTTGTACGCACCAGCCTTCTTCAAGTGGTTGGAATGTCAAACTTAACCTTTTATTTCGCTCACTGGGGTAGACTGTTCTAGTTCCATATACCATGTTTAATGGATGTCAGTTATCAGTTATCTCCTGTTAATTCCCCTCTCCAATTTCCCCACTGCCTTAACCTGGTATTGAACTCACACTATTTGGGTCATGTCACTGGATCTAACCAACGCCTTTATCCACTGTGCCATGTACCGTTTGAGATTCAGTTTGACATTCCAACCAACTGAAGAAGGCCGGAGCGTACAACGGCCGAAACGTTGTAATAAATATGGCGACAAAGATGAAGACAATAGACCGAATAATGTACATAATGTACTATTCTTACATTTTAGAATAATGTTTGGCTTTAAATAACAAAGGGTTGATAACGGGTAAAAATATCAAATTACTCACTCAATCTAATAACTTAATAGTCTGCGTAATTTCTATTATCATTTGCAACAATAGTTTCTTCAAATAAGTTCTTGTTGATCAATCTATTTATCTAGCTTTTAATTACTATCAAGTTTCTTTCTTTGACTTTATTGAAACCAGTTTTTTTACTGTTCGTTTCCGCCCATTTATTTTAGTTCTTGTTTCATTGATTTTTAAAATTTAATTCCTACATTTTTATAACAGTGTTACTTAGCAGTACTGGAAGATTTTTTTTTTTAATAGGAAAAAATTACAATTTACTAGATAATAAATGAATATATAAATAGTGACAATTTTTTTTTTTTTTTTTTTTTTTTTTTTTACCGACATCAGTCATTTTGATTTCGACCGGTTACGCTGCAGTAAAGACTAAACTAGTCGACAACTCCAACACACAATGAAATATAAACACATTCTGAAACATATCATATCTTATGCTAGTGGTTTTAAAAAAAAGCATAAAACACTTCTTCAGGACGTTGGAGATCATGGCTATCTACATATTCTTATCCTTTACATATTCTTATCCTTTGTAGTTTGTAAAAACTTTTGTTTTCTGTTATCTTTCCAGAACCTTGTTCCACCATTCATTTACTGAAAATATCTAACACGGTTATGCATTGATTTCCTTTTTCCCTAAATACTGCGGGTATTTAATTTTCTAAACCCCGTTTCCTCATTATGCACCCTATAAATTTGAACCGTCTTTTCCTGATAAGTCTCTTTTTTGTTTCAATTTTCTCTAAAGCTAATCGTTGTTCATATATTCCGTCAGTGGTATTGCCAGCATCTTCTGTAGAACTACATTTCTGTTAATTCAAGTCACTACTTCATTCGTGATGATGAACTAATTTTGCATGTCATTTTAGTTCTCTTTTCATTGTTTCTAACATATTTTCTGCTTCTTACTACTTTGCTTAGAA